AAAAGTTATGTTTGCTATATCTCTAAATAACACTGTGGATAATCAGCACTATTTAGATGGAGTTATAAAGCTAATGTTAAGTCTGTTTTTAGGAATAGTTGGAGAAGCTATCTTTTTAACCTGTGATATGTTCTCTCTTAGTCCAAACATACTAGTATATAATGGCAATACCAGGTAATAAGAACTTTATAGATACCTACTGCTTTTATGGCTAGAAAGCTCGTAGGGAAATGGTGGTTACAGCCAATAAAAAACAATAATAATTTTTTCTTAATTCAGTAAATGATATTAAAAACAAATTAATATTTTTATAAATATTTATACACACAACATAAACACATATATACATAAAAGCAATGTACATACACACCCCGTGTGGTCAGACCTATGGACTACAGATTATCAAGGCACAGAGAAATTAAGATCTTGTTTAAGTACACATAGCTTGTGGACAGCAGACCTCTGATTCAGACTCAGATATTCTGGCACTTGGGCCCTTCCTCTCTATTTATAGAAAGCTGAAAGAAAAAGTGAAACTTTTTCTTCCAAAAAATTACATAAAATAATAAGAAACAAAGGAGAGCAAAACAAGAACAAAAGAGAGAAAAGAAACAATGGAGGTTCCAGAGTATGCCACCCACAGTCATTCTCAGTATTGAATGTTACTTATATTGAGGATAAGAAGACATTTCTTCTGCAAATTAAAACTACATGAGGTGTTATCTCACACCAGTCAGAATGGCCGTCATTAAAAAGTCTACAAGTGATAAATGCTGGAGAGGGCGTGGAGAAAAGGAAACCCTCCTACACTGTTGGTGGGAATGTAATTTGGTGTGGTCACTATGAAAAACAGTATGAAGGTTCCTTAAAAAACTAACACTAGAGTTGCCCTGTGGTCTAGCAGTCTCATCTCTGGACATGTTATCTGGAGAAAACTCTTATTTGAAAAGATACATGTGCCCAAATGTTCATAGCAGCACTGTTTACAATAGTCAAGACATGGAAGCAACTTAAGTGTTCCTCCACAGATGAATGGAGAAAAAAGATGTGATATAGATACACAATAGAATACTAGTCAGCCATAAAGAAGAATTAAATAATGCCATTTGCAGCAGTATGGATGTACCTAGAGATTACCATACTAAATAAAGTCAGTCAGAAAGTAAAATATCATATGATACCACTTATCTGTGGAATCTAAAATATGCTACAAATCAACTTATTTACAAAACTTAAACAGAGTCAGAGGTAGAAAACAAACTTACAGTTACCAAAAAGGAAAGGGGATGGGAAAGGGATAAACTAGGAGTTTCTGATTAGCAGATACAAACTACTATATATAAAGTAGATGAATAACACAGTCCCACTGTATAGCACAGGGAACTATATTCAGTATCCTGAAGTAAACCATAATGGAAAAAAAATATGAAAAAGAATGTATACAAAACTAAATCATTTGGCTGTAACCAGAAACTAACACAACATTGTAAATCAACTATACTTCAGTAAAAGTTTTTTTTTTCCCTTAAAAAGACATTTCTTCTTGAGATTTGCTAATCAGCAAAAAAATAAGTCAGGGACCAATATGTAAGTGACAGGCAACACATCCCCCCCCCCCCCTGCCCGGAGACTAAACACCAGATTATAATTCATGTGCTTTTAATACAAGATCAAAATAGTTAATTTGCCTTTTTTTAATTGCCTTACATATATGTTCAGATTTCTTAAAACACAAGATAGTCAAAATGGTACAGTTTGACTTGTTTCAACTATTTACCAACTGTAAAATCTTGTCATTAATTTCTCTGAATTTAAAATGCTTTATTGTACACACTGTGATAAGAATTTATATCTAAAAGTATTTTGTAAATTGAAATTACTTTGATTTTTATCTAACATTTTATCTTACATTCTTAATATGTATTCTTCAGTATTTAATGTACACCCACCATATGCCATGGGATACTAAGTGCTAAAGATACTACAGGCAGTCAAGGTTTCTGATCCCTCAAAGCTACCAGTTGCAGGGGACATGGAATGGCACAGTTGCTGAGTCTTAGAAAGATTTAACTTAAAGTAATTTTAAAGGATGAAATTTTTTTTCTGTTGACATGCCCAGAATTTTTTTCCCATTGATAGAATAGTTTTATGAAGGTGTTACAGAGATTGAGTTGTATGTTGTTTGATATTTCTTTAGAGCATACAAACTATTCTAGGGAACCTTTTCATAATATTTGAGGAGTTAAGAGTATTTTAGCTTTCTATTAAATCATGTGGTATATTGACAGAAATGACCATAATGTTTAGAGTTCTGTAACTGCTAGTTACACCCATAAGAACTGCTCTATGGCACAGGGAGCCCAGCTTGGTGCTCTGTGATGACCTAGCTGGGTGGGATGGAATGAGGTGGGAGGAGGTCCAAGACAGAGGGGATATATGTCTACACATAGCTGATTCACTTCCTTGTACAGCAGAAACTAACATGGCATTGTAAAACAATTATATTTCGATTTTTTAAAAAAAGAAATTGAACTAATGGCTTATTTCTATTTTCAGGTAAAGAGCATGGTGCATCATTTATACTTTAATGATAAACTCGATGCACCAAGGAAGACTCGTTTTCCAGAACGTTTCATGGATGACATTGCTGCTCTTGTCAGCACAATTGCTAGTGATATAGTTTCACGATTTCAGAAGGTAATGATAACTTATTTTTAAAAACTAAGTCAATCTTTCAGGCACACATTAAACTATCATACTTCTGTTTTTTAATTTTGTTTCCCAGGACACAGAAATGGTTGAGAGACTCAACACAAGCCTTGCATTTTTTCTCAATGATCTGTTGTCTGTTATGGACAGGGGATTTGTCTTTAGCCTTATAAAGACCTGCTATAAACAGGTAATGTATAATTAGTAATAGTAATGAAATAATTTAAGTTCTGTGTTTGCTCTTTAAGGGCTAGAGCTAAGAAACTTTCATGAACTCATTTATATAGTGATGTTTTTAAAAAGTGGTATATTTATTATTAAGGCAAAAATAAATTACATTTATCAGTTCATAGAACTATGGCAAGCGCTATCAGTAAAGCCATCTTTTCCTTGAGTTATCCTGGCCCACTCCTGACTCTTTAATTCCCATTTAGAAGTATACCATCAAGTCAGTAGTCTAAATGTAAAACAGCCTCAGGTTGCCATGCCAGAGTAGCATTTTTACTGAATGAACAGCTAACCCAACCTTTTCTATCTTAAGTGATTTTTAAAGCGGTTGCATTTTGCTGTGTATTCCTCATGATGAAGCCCTAGACATTGTAGAGTTTAGAATCATGGGCAGATGTTTACCCAAGTCTCAAATATATCATCTTGCCTTTTCTAAACTAAAAGTATCCTGGAACTTTCCTACAAACAGCTGGTTTTGTGTTAAATTTTTCAATTGATTAATGAAACCTGGCTTTCAGAAGACATTAGTTATTTGTCCTGATAGACCATTTGGGTAGTAAGTTATATAATCATCCTAGAATTGCCTTTTAAGGGAGCTTTAAAAATATACAGGTCTCTTGTGTCCCATCCCAGCATTATTGAGGAGTTTGAATCCTGGTGGTGGGGGTGGGGAGTGTGGGAAACAGTGCTTATACAGTACTTCCCTGCTGCTCCACAGATTAATTTAGGGGAACTACTGGTTTAAAATGTTATTTGTCAGTCTAATACTTAGAATTTTGAAAATCTGTTCAATTGGATGCCATTATTGTATATATCTTTTTTTCTTTTTTGGCTGAGCCATGCATCATGTGGGATCTTCCCTGACTGGGGATTGAATCCGTGCCTTCTATATTGGGAGCTTGGAGTCTTAACCTCCGGACCACCAGGGAAATCCCTGTTTTGTTTTGTTTTTTAATAGAGAAGTTGAAACTATGCATGGGCACTGTCTGTTTGCAAGTATTTGCCACACTATGTATTATTTTTACTTTTCCCCTGAAACTTCATGTATTATTGCTCTCAAAACCTGTCCTGGCTTTATTCTTTAGGCATTAACCTCCTACATTTGCCACACATTAAGCTAGACTCTAGGGATGCTAGAACTCTTAAAATAAGTCAGTTTATAAACATCTCCTCAAGTAAGTAATGGTGTAGTTGGGAAAACAGATAGTTATAAATATAGGTTAGCACAAAGTGCTGAAAAAAGAATAGATAATTTATTTTATGAAGTTATTTTGACAGTATAATTTTTCTTCAGATAGAATATCCTTGAGAGGTGGAAATATTAATGCTGTATTGGAAATATAAATATGTGGCTTTAAGAATGCACCTCGTCAGTGGATTTATACAGTAAATCTTGTAGTTCTAAGTATTTTATTTTAGCGATAACTGGAAAAAGCTGACACTGTTAGTTAAACTACAAAACCCAAAGCTGTCCATTGAGTACTGTTTTCTAATTCTTTAATTCATCATTCTGGTGTTGGTATTAGAGAAATGATATGTTCAATTGGTATTTTTTTTTAATTTCTGCACTGCTTACAAGGTGTCTTCAAAGCTTTATTCATTACCAAGTCCAAGTGTCCTGGTGTCCTTGAGGCTTGATTTTTTGCGAATCATCTGCAGCCATGAGCACTATGTTACCTTAAACTTACCCTGCAGCCTGCTCACTCCACCTGCATCACCATCACCTTCTGTTTCTTCTGCAACATCTCAGGTATGCAAAATGTATGAAAAAGAAATTTTTTTAAGCCTGCATTTGTGGAAAAAGCATTTTAAATGCTGGGAAAAGTGAAAAGTAATACTATTGAATAATAACTGTGTGATAGGCTCCATACTCAGGGCTTTGTAAGTAGTAAATGATTAAGTGCTTTATAAATATTAATCATTTACTACTCTTCATTGCAACCCTAAGAGGTACATTCTATTATCATCATTATTATTATTATTTTTATGGGTGAACTGAAATACAGAAAGATCAGTAACATACCCAGGGTCACATAGTAAAAACTGGCAGAACTAGGCTTTGATCCATGGCACATGTTGGCTTTATTCTAGGTCTAAGTTCCTGACCACTTTGTTGTACCCCTCTGACTGATTTTCGCACAAGGGAGTGAATTCGCCTACATAATAAACTCACTTGATGTTTTCACAAGTTGGGTTTTCTTGATGCAGACACAGACTGAGTTTGGGGGGCAAGATGTTTATTAGCTGTCAGTACCTATGGAAGGAAAGGGAATGAAGCATAATTAGCAGAGAAAGAAGTAAAACAGCAGTGCAGTCCTGGCAAAGCCCTGCCTGCCTCTTTTGTATCCAGAGAACCCAAAGGAAACTAGGTGGTGTTCTCATGGGTTTTCACAGGGTGCCTAATAATTGCTCTAAGGATGACAAAGGATTATCATAGCAATTATTATGTGTCTTGTCATACAGAATGAAATGAAGGGATTTTGTGGTTTTAGTACCAGAGGAGCCTAGATGTTCCCGTCTAGGGAAATGTTTTGCTATATAATTCCTCAGACAAACAAGCTACTTCCTTAAGCTCTTGTTTTTCTTTTTTTTAAATTTCTTTATTTGGCTGTGCTGGGTCTTAGTCGAGGCATATGAACTCTTACTTGTGACATGTGGGATCTAGTCAATCCAGGGATTGAATCCAGGCCCCCTGTATTGGGAACGTAGTCTTAGCCACTGGACCACTAGGGAAGACCCTTCCTTATATTCTTAATGTCTGAAGTCAAAGGTGATCTGAACTCTTTTTTGTTTTTGAGATTTTTAATTCCTGAAAGTAATATACTACATTAGATCAATTTCAGATGTTTGATAAAGAAAAATTTAAACTTTACTTAGAAAGATTGAAAAACGCAGAGATCACCCAAAACGTCTCATTTTTTACCTTTGCAAAAATTCTTAAGGATCAGCCTATTTCCACATACTTTTACCTGGCTAAGACACATTTCACCTAGTCTTTTGTTCTCTTCTCCCATCTTCTGTCAAAGATGTGACTACACAATCAAGGACAAATTAACCATAGGTAAAGTTCCCTAAAGCTTTAATGAAACACATTTGTTTATACTTGACTCCCTGCTGAACATCTTATCCAGTCAAGAAATTAATAGCGTTTCTTCCAATGTCCCGTCCCCTACTTTCTCATTTAGCTGCATAATTTTCATATTATAGTAGATGACAGAGACATCACTCTTTGGGAGGTAGGGACCTGAATAGTTTTATATACTTACTAAGAAGGCAATTTCTCCATAGAGAAATCTGAAGTCTGTTCTTCTAAGAAACCTCGCATTGTTGGTCTTGAATGTGGATTAAAGGTGATAAGGTTGAGGACATTCTTGCCTTGAACTGTATCTTGGGGGACGCTATTTTACAGTATTAGAAAACTTGTAAAAACTCTGAATGAACCAAAAAATAATAGTAATTTTCAAGAGATAGTATTTTCCCTGAAAAAAAACAGCTTTATTATTATTTGAAATTTCTCTGGAAACCAATAGCATTTGACTATGAATATTTCTTTTGTACTCAACAGTGAGTACATAATGCATCATTTGGATTTAATTCTTCTTTCCCTTCAGAATAAGATAGGGAAATATTTAGTGGCTAAAAGTATGAAGGAAAAATCAGATGAAAAAATTTAATATGAGAAAAAGGAAATTGAAAATAATTTAAAATGCTATGTCATCATAGTTTCCTATAACAAAAGTAAGAGCAGGTGCTTTCTCCAGTGTTAATAATAGTAATATAAAAATAAACTTAAAATGTTTATCTCACTTTAAGATGATGCTCACATCTCGTTTGTTGTAATGCTCTGTCTGTAGAATGTTTTGTTGCATAGCTATTATAGTTTTGTTCTATCTCACTCCCAGAGTTCTGGATTTTCCACCAATGTCCAAGACCAGAAGATTGCAAATATGTTTGAATTGTCTGTGCCTTTCCGCCAGCAGCATTATTTGGCAGGACTTGTGTTAACAGAGCTGGCTGTCATTTTGGACCCTGATGCTGAAGGGTGAGCAGACCACTTTTGCTGTGTACAGTATCAGTTTGATTTTGGTCAGTGGAACAGAAGTATCCCACTTAACTGGGACTCAAAAGAATATTCTTTACCATTCTTCTTCTACTTCTCTGTTTACTAAGTTCCATACTCATGTTTTTTCTGTATTTCATCAGTTTTAAGAAAGACATTTTTTGTCATCTCTGAATTTGATGTTTGTCTTGAAAGTCAACGTGTATCATGTTGTATCATGGTTTAGTTGGTAGTATTTTTTTCCTTCTTAGTAGTACCTGAAATATTTGTGCATGTTATAGATGGACTTTTAGATTTGTTGATATGCAATAAGCACAATTCAGTTAATGAAAATAGACTAATCTGTTTGATTCTTTGGGAGTAAAATGTATCATTTGCCATCATATTAATAATATATAGCATGTACTTCAAAATTTGCCCTATAAACAAGTAAACTTGTTTTAAAAACTTCCACTCTTTTAAAGAATTATTGGAAATTGATATAGTAAGAAGAGTTCATTGTCTGATGATTTGAATTTGCAGAAACAGCTTTACTATAAATGTGTTGTGATCGAAGATCCTTGTAGGTTATTTCTATCTTAATAGCTGTTTTCAAAAGTTTTTATGACCATAACTCATTTGGGTAACAATTACTCTTTTTTTCAACTTTCCTCATAGTAGGATCGTTAAGGAGTTTGTAATGCAGTTTAACCTAAAGTAAGAGCTCCAAAAAACAAAAGGAGATATTTTGAGCAGGTTTTATAAGAATCCTATGATGTATTTATTGAGCAAATGAAATGAGGTCTGTGAAGTTCTTAGCAATAGGTACATAGTTAATGCTTAATAAAGTGTGGAAGGCTAAATCTTCTGCAAATGAAAGTCATGAGTTTTTTCATAGCAGCTTCTCATGTTAGGGATATATTATTAAGAAGCAGGTTTTCACACTGTGTTCGGCAGAACTGTAGGGTTCTGAAAAGGTTCTTAGTGTGTTTCCAGGTAGGATGGGGTTGTGGTGCAGACATTGGAATAGAGAGAGGGCAGGCTTAGTGGGTGAGACTTTGGGTCTCACCCAGAGTGCTTGCCACCACTCTTTTATTTTGCCATTGATAAAGGAATATAATGTCATTTGGGGGGCTAAAAAGGATCCATTATTTGAAAAAAATCACTCTGAAAGCAACTTCTAAACATACTACCTTTCTTTAGTAACTGTTAGATCTCAGTCATTTGAATTTATATTTCCAGTATTTTTACTTGATGTATCAGAATAATTTTGGTTACCAGAAATAGAAAACTTTTCTTCTTGCCTGCTTTGTTAAAGGAAGGATAGTTATCATTTCATGTTTGGAAGAAAGGTAAGGTTTTAGCACAGTACAACCAGCAGCTCAGTGATGTTATCAGGGTTCTATTTCTGTTTCTTTTATTTCTACTAGGAGCCCCAGCTTTATCCTAGTGTACCTTTTGTGACTGTAAGAGAGTTGCTCTGGCAATTCAGAGTAAATTCTTACTTGTCTGTGTCCAGAAGAGCAGAGAGGGGAACAAACCCCTCCTCCCAAGCATGCGATGCACATCTTTCTTTGCCCTGGTCTGGCTCACTTGCCTGTCCTGCACTGTTAGACACCAGAGCAATGCCAGGTTCCTGGGTGAGTTAGATCACTTCTACTCACGTGTGGTGCGTAGACAAGTTTTGGTTCGTGGGTGGTTCAAAGCAGAAGATAAGGAGCTCATGCCTCAATAGTAATTAGCTGTCACTAAAAAGTGTTTAGTTCATGTGATTTTTTTTTTTTTGGTAGACCTTTTCATTTAAGGAAACAGTTGATTAACATTAATCTCTTCTCATCTTAGTAATGAAACAGCTTGTTGACTGGCTACTGTAAATGGCAGCGCTAGTCTGATTGGATCAACCTCAGGTACTAGGGGTACCTAGTAGTCAGGTACTAGAGTCAGCTTCTTCTCAGTCTCAGGGACATGAGGGTATACCTGAACATTTTTGCATTCCACTAGGGAGGAAGACAGGTGAAGGAGATGTTGTGTAGGTGTTTGGTGGTGTCTGATAAAGAACAGAGAATTCTAACAGTCAACCTTTTTTAGAAATTTATTTATTTTTTAATTGAAGGATAATTGTTTTACAGAATTTTGTTGTTTTCTGTCAAACCTCAACATGAATCAGCTATAGGTTTACATGTATCCCCGCCCTCTTGAACCTCCCTCCCATCTCCCTCCTCATCCCACCCCTCTAGGTTGATACAGAGCCCCTGTTTGAGTTTCCTGAGCCACACAGCAAATTCCAGTTGGCTCTCTGTTTTACGTATTGTAATATAAGTTTCCATGTTACTTTCTCCATACCTCTCACCCTCTCCTCCCCTCTCCCCATGTCCATAAATCTATTCTCTATGTCTGTTTCTGAGATTTTGTGTAGGTATTCAGTGGTGTCTGATAAAGAATAGAGAATTCTAACGGTCAACCATTTTTGTGATGAGGTTTCCTTCTCAGAGTCAAGGATCAGTTCTGTTAAAATAGATACATCTCTGTGGAAAAGTGTAGGGCTCATGAAAGACTTCTTTTTTAAGAAAAATTTTATATGCTGTATTCAGAGTTCTTTTTTTTAAATTTCATTTTTAATTGGAGGGTAATTGCTTTAAAACATTGTGTCAGTTTCTGCCATCCATCAACATGAATGAACCGTAGGTATACATCTGTCCCCTCCCTCTTGACCTCTGTTCTGCCCTTTTGCCTCTTCAAGCTGGTCTCTAAGGTGGCTCTTTAGACACTTTCTGACCCTCAAGTCTGAAAGCAATGATAACTGTGTTCGCCACTACTTTTTCTTTGTTTATTGAGTTTAGAAATGTAACTGGAATAGCTTCAAATAGTAATATACAAGATCATAAGCTGTTCCTGCTGTTTGTTTTCTCATCTTCTCACTCTTTCCTACACCCGGTCCATTAGCAAGTGCTTTAGGGCCACCTCTTAAAATATATCCCAAGTCCAGCTGCTTCCCTTCCTCGCTACTGCTCCCCCCCCAATCATGCCTCCACTCTGCCCTCCCTAAAATCCCTTTTCTACACAGCAACCTAAATGGTCTTTCAGAAATTAGAATTAAATTATATTGCTTCCTTGGTTAAAACTCCTCAATGTGTTTAAAAGCACACACTTCTTACTTTAAAGATAGTTAAAAGTGTATGCTTTTAAAATAACATTTAAAATAAAATCCAGACTTAGTAGTGAACCTCAAAACTCTGTATATATAACTCTTGTCTACACTGTCACTTCTCTTCTTCCTTATGTACTAAAATCTAGCCATCCTGGACTTGTTTCTGTTTCCCTTATGGGCCTACCCAGTCCCATAAGGGTCTTGGCACTTAGATTTTCTTCTGCCTGAAGCAATGCTGAAATTACCCTGAGATTTCCACACAGAGGCATTTCTTCCTTGTAATTCTTCAAATCTCCAGTCAAACATCTCAGTGAGATGTCATTGGGCCACCCAATCTGAATTATAGCTGTGTTACCCTTGCCACAATTATTCTTAATCATATAATCCTGTTTTATTTTCTACAAAGCATTTCCCTGAAATTTGCTCATTTGTTCATTATCTGTCTCCTCCCATTAGAATGTGAGCTCACGAGAGCAGCACTTGTCTTTCTTGTTCACTGCTGTATTCCCACTGCCTTAGAATTGTGTCTGGTACAGAGTGGACACTTGGTAACTATATGTTAATTCAGTGAATGAATGATTGACTATTTGAGACTCACATCTCATCTCTATATTTTACATTTTTTTTCACATTTGCATAGATAAAACAGCATACATTGTCTTAGATAGACCCTTAAGAGGGGTGTTTTTACTCCTTTTGCTTGCTAAGTAATCATAAATAATTTCTTGAGTAGCAGTAGTATGTTCTAATATTGACCAAAGATTTGCTCTTTAGAAATTTTCATTGTAGTTAGAAAGTTAAAACTTTGAAACAATATACTATGGTTAAATGCAAATTTTGTAGTACAGAACCTAGTTCTGAAGAAGATTAGCACCTTTGTTATAATCATTTGTAACACTGAATTATTATTTTTGTGTCTGTGTTTCTTTCTTGCTAAAGCAAGCTCTTTAAGAATGGGGCAATGTCTTATCTCCAGCATCTAGCATAAGATATGACACGTCTTGTGCGTGCATGTGTCCTGCGCATCCATGTGTTTGTGTTCATGTGTTTGTGTGTGCGTGTGAGAGCTGAGTGTGTCTGAGTATTGTGACATGTGAACAGGCTTAATGAAGATGAGTGGAGAGAATTTAGCTAGGGTGAAGTCTGGGGCTGGTAGCTGCTGAGAGATGCTAAATATTAACATACCCAGGTTTGGGAATCATCACTGGTGATACAAGTTGAAAGAGAGGACATAAAAGGCAAATGACCAGAATCTGAAACTTGGGAAGAATGATAGAGAATATGAAGAGTGGTGGGAGCTAGTTAGAGAATATACTGAGAAGAAATTATAAAAGGTGACAAAGTGTCAAGTTAGAGAGTTAGAAAATGAAATCTGAGATATGTCCATTAGATGGAGTTCTCAACAGTATTTAAAAATATACTTTTCTGAATAAAAATCTGGGAGGAAGAAGAATCTCCAGCTAGATTTCATATATAGCTATGTAAAATGGTAGATAAGATCAAAAGCCCCAGAGAAAGTATACCTGGTTTTAAATCATAGCTTTTAAATCTGCTATGTGATTTTAAAGAGAAAAGCTAATATTTACTGAAGAATGCAGTGTGCAAATCATTGTGGTAAGCATGTTACATAAATGATGTAACTTAATTCTC